TTGCCGCGCGACATCTCGCAGAGTGACATCTTTGAAGTTCTTCTGTTGAAGGAGAGGAAGCAAAATGCCAGCATTGGGAAGGGTAAACGTAAGTCACGAGCACGATCGAACTGCGAATGAGATAGCGAGCCTTATGGAGATCTGATTCCTTGTTGTGCCGTTTGAGTTGATCAATAGACTTGAATTGTCGCGAGCAAAGTAAGCAGGCGAATCCATCGACGTCCGAAAATTCAAACCCGTTCTCTGCAGGTGGAGTGACAGCGGGAGCGGATGCATTTGCTGAGGAAGGTACAGCTGTATTCTCAGCCGAAGTTATCTGTTGACGCGAAGCAGTATTCCTATTCAATCATTGCAACGAGAAAAGAGCCAAATAGGGATAGGTCACCAATGTAGCAGAACTTGCATTAGTTGAAGAAGTGCCCGAGAGTTCCTCTTGTACTTGGTTCCACTTGTTGATGTTATTGATGGTCTGCGGATAACGCAGCTTATGAGCGAACCGGAATAGAAGGTTTTGTGTGCATGGATGCTCAAGTTGGTCCTATAAATTACCTTCTTACTCGCAATCAAGGGCGCAACCCCTTTAGAGCTGTTCACTACGAGTAGTCAATTAAAATTGGAAGCGCAGATGGAGCAAGCAAATGCTCACATTTGCCGCTAGCCACAGAAATATCTTCCTCGTCCTCATCGTCCTCATCAACGGAGAATCCCAAGGACAGAGGTTTCACGACTGAACCTGAACCTGAACCTGGTTACAGTTTGAGACTTGTTTATATCATAGCCGTTGAAGTCAGGTACCTGTAATGGTTGTCTTCGAGGGACCTTTATTAAAACTAAGTGTGACGGGCTTGTCAGACACAGGTAATGCGGAAGGCGCGGGAGGCGCAATGGGGCGTAAAGCGGGGTCTGTATCAGAACATTCAGCCATAGGTTTCTGCGAATAATGAAAGTTGTACCCTTCTTTTTCTTTTCCTTTTTGTCTTTTCCGCTGGTCACCGTTGATGACTGAGGCATAGCGACCTGAAATTCAAGGACTGCGACCATGGAGGACTCGTCCCAATACCGAACATAAGTACCTTCTACTCCACCTAAAGCAAGCGACGACGTAAGACAGGCTTCATCTCGAAGCATAATTTCCTGAATCGGCTGGAAAGAGTCGGGATGAGCGAAAGAAGCCGCAGCAGGCCTGTCAGATATCCGAAACCCGGCTGGATGGATTTGTGGAGACATTGTAGCTGCAAGCACCGCAGAAGCCGACTGCAGCAAAAAAAAAAACCGAAAATCGAAAACAAAACTGAGCATAAGTCTGCAAAAGGGAGAAAGAGGATATTACAGGCGTATCTATGAACTCCACAAAGGCAAAACCAAAGCTGGCCATCGTAACCTTGTCCTTGATGAGAATGATTCTCTTCATGCCTGAAGCACCTTCTTTGCCGTCTCCCGAGGAGTTCCTCATTGCCTGGTGAATGGCTTGCGGCCCAGAGAGCGGATCCAACCCTCTGAATAGAAGGACAGGTGCCTGAGTATTCCCGATGTCCCGAGTACCGTCATTTGTATTCCCCCTCGATCGACCTTTTTCGTGCGGGGTAGCGCTTTGAGAATAATCAATCTTGACCCTCCGTCCATTATGCGGTAAACCCGTTTCGAGGTTTTTGTAGAAAGCGGCGGTTGCAGTGGCCCCACGAGAAGCCGGAGGCGGTACTTGAACGAATGGAAACAACGGATCCACGAAAGCACGAGCATGTTCAGAGCTGCTGAATTGCGCAAAGCCAAAACCTTTTGAAGAACCTTGATAATCCAGACGCAGAGAGATAATGTCAATGCATGCGGAAAGCAGAATATACGAATGGGCAACTGCCTGTTGATCGTTCTCGGATGATTGTGACCGTTTCTACACTGCATCCATGAGAATTGAGGTATGATTGCAGCTGAAAGCAGGGAAGAGTGAGCCATGAAGACCAGATGAGTGAAGAGGTATACAGACATCAGACTCTGTAAAGTCGGGATCGAGGCCAAGGAATATGACATGGGGACTGGGTTCCGAAGGCTGTAACCGCTTCTTTGGCCCGCCACCACGTCCCGGCTGGTCTTGCGGATAGCCAGAACCTTGACGGCTATAACCCGAATCATGCTTGTTATCTTCGTATGCCTGAGAGCCCTCATAGCCTTGGTATCCCTACTCCAGGATGCTTAGTGTAGACTGCAATGGAGATAACGAACACATACTCCGTCATTGTATTTCCTGCGTTTTCCTTGAGCATGATGATCATCCTCTCTGGGATGATAGCTCTGACGGGAATCATATGGATACCAAGAGGTTTCAGCGGGTTTCCCTCTGTCCCATTCACGATTATCGCTGTAGTCCATTTTGAGAAGATGAAAGTAAAGAAGAAAGAAAATATAAACAAGGACAAATCATAGCGGAGCCTGAATAAGTCATTCCTTCACAAAGTCACTTCAACATGGCCGGTGGACATCATGGTAGCTGGAATCTGTGCCTTTGTATTATTTCTCTGATTCCAACCGTTGCAGGCAGCTTGAAAACAGACCCTGCCGTCGAAAATTTCAACTTATGGGTGCGCCTTTTACTCACGTTGTCCGAGTATTGACTCAATAATGACTGGACACGCAGCGCGAGCAACATTATCTTCGTTTCCGATGGACTCCTGCTAATGTGAAAGCGGCCGTCTTTGGTATAATCATCTTTCCGACTGCTTTATATACTGCGGTTAACTACACCACTGTGCGTTCGCAATATGAGTGACCAATCAAATTGATCTAACATTCGTATTTATAGTCCCGGTGGTTTTGGAACGCAAAGCTCAAGGATCAAACTTTAGCAGGGAAACCGGAATGAAGCAGATGTATTTCTTTACGCATTAGTATCTTTTACACAGTTCTATCGCTACTTTGCATCCCGCACCCACGACAGTACTCAGCAATGCGTGTGCCGGAGCTCTCTGCGCATGATTGATCACTGCAATGTCTAAATGCTCCAGTTCATCGTCTCTGAATTCCTTTACCACTTCCCTCATCAACGGGACACTTGGATGGGTAGACGGCAGTGATTCCATCTCTTTCAGTTGACTAAGACAACAACGCATTAGTCGAATGACTGAGAATTGATGTTTGCTCTTCTCACTCGTCATAGTGTTCTCCAATAACTGTCTCAACCGCTTCCGTACAAGCCATTGCGGCTTCTTTGCCCAAAAGAGCCGTCATAGCTCCTAATCCAAACCCTCCAATTTTCGCAACCTCCATGAGAATTGTCGGACGGACGCGGTGTTGAAGCTGCATTTTGTTCATTACCTCGAGATGTTTCTTCTCCTGATCCCACATTTCCTGTGTAAAGTGAAAAAACATGTCCATGATTCCTGAATATAAGTGCACGAACTTGAATCAAAGGTCCTGTAACAGGCTGTTTCCCGAGGATGCAATGCTGGCCATAATAAATCCAGTTAGCCGCAACTTCTCCTGCTTGATCTACGCGGAGAGCCGAGTCCAAAGCTGCCCTTTGTTCATCCGTTATATCGAGCGGGGTTGTGGAAATCGCAGCGTCGCTTGGTGATGAAGGTTTCGTATAAGCATAGGACGCAAGGAAACGACGGTTTGTGTATCGAGACAAGCGCCGAGCCGTGGAGGAAGAGAACATAGTGATGCGCGATCACAAGGTTTAAATAATTTGTTTACTTGGCTAGTGCCACTTTGCCCCTTGACTACGCTCTTTCATCAACTTCCATAATGTCTGCCACGTCCGTTTTCTCATTTCAGTTCATTCCAAGTTCAATCCTCACATCTTCCAACAGCTACACGCCGTCTGATGTTATCGACATGTCCAAGGAAAAAGAGTGGGCTGCTGCGCTTGGTATGACCACTATCACACGTAGGAACAATTGTTCAATATTATCTAGGCATGCTTGACTGGGATTCGACCAGCATCGTGTTCACGAAGCGGTCTCTGATCGAATTTTTAAAGTGCGATTCTACGAATCGTCTTGATCAGGCGTACGATTTGCTAACTTCGAACCAATCAACCAGATATACTGGAACTACGGTAGACACCAACTTTGGAAATATTCAAAAACTTCCCAGTACGTCTAGGGCATGTTCGTTCGCATATAGAGCGCTAATACTTGTGCTGTAGGATGGGCAAAATTCGGCAAGATATCCTCTGAGATGAGCCCTTCCGATTCCAACATGTCTGTCACCGGTGCGTCCCTCACATTTCCAGAAAGAAAGCTATGACTGAGCCTCTTACAGCATCGACGAGTTCAACTACCTCTGAAGAGTTCAAACCTTCTCGTCGCGTAAGACAAGCCCCTGGTGGTGGGCACACTGACATCTTCGGTGGCGACGATGAAGATGATGCTTTGTCCCAAGCTCCTCCCAAAGAGACCGAGGTTCATATTTCACCGCATTTTTTCAGCCTGCTTTCTTGATCATTGTACAGGGAACCGAAATAACTACCAGTCCTGCCATGACTCAAGAACAAGCGCAGTATGAAGAAGATCATTCAGGAATTAACTTCCCTTCCCAAGTTAAACCAAGCAGGTATGCACCTTTGATCTTTGAAGTCTTCGATGCTCACTGTCGAGCTCTCATCAGGCGCGTGAGGACGGTTCCTGGTGGAAATAGCTCACTCTCAAACTTTTGGGATTCAAACGACCAACAAGAAGAATTTAAACCAACTCGACGGTGAGTGTGTATCAAATGCCTTCTGGAAATCTTTTCCTCAGTCTTTTTCTACCACCCAGAGTCCGTCAAGGTCCAGGTGGCCAAGATAACATTTCAGGCGTAAGTTGTGTTTTTCTTGTGTGATTCATTACTGACCAACATTATTCCAAAGCTCTTCTAATGTAATTAATCGCAGAAGGGGTATTTCTTAAGTGTATTATCCAAAGCTTGCGAGTTGCCGGGTCACTGGTTGTGAAACGTACTTAGCTTGGAATTGTATGATTATTGTTTGCGTTTCAGGTAACGAAAAAAAGAGCAACTAAGAAACATGGTAGCGGCGAGGTTCGAACTCGCGCGGAGTTTCCTCCATTGGGAAGCATATCAGCTGTCGGGCTGCTTAAATCCAACGCCTTAGACCACTCGGCCACGCTACCATATACAACATCTGCGCATTGTCATGTTATATTTATATATCACCATCTCAACATCATTTCTTTGCAATACTTACGTCCATGACAATCGCCAGAATAACGACAAAGCTATCTCGTTTTTTATCCTCTACGCGGTCTCTACCAACCTCTCGCTCAGCAATCTACATTCCAAAAAAGATGTTGACCAGTACAATGACCGTGACTTTCCTTGGCACCTCAAGTGGTGGAGGGCCCAGTACATCTAGGAATTGTTCATCCCTTGTCGCTGACGTTCTGGGTGACAATTCCCTCTGGAGTACGCGAGTTCTCAGAATCTCGATGCACTTTATCTGTAATCACTTTTTCTTATAGTGGTTGATTGTGCGGAAGGAACCCTTCGTCAATTTCACCTACAGCCATACAGCTCGGATCGTTCCAATCTTCGATTGTCACAACTCAAAAAAATATTCATAACACACATGCATGGTAATCTCCTTGATTCACCATCCAATCATAAGCTTATTGTATTGCAGCCGACCACGTAATTGGGTATGTTCATCCAAATTGCAACTGCTGTGCCCATACTCACTTCCCCCCGCAATAGGATAGTACCTATTCTTCGGAATCTCCTCTTCCCAGTTCCGGTCGGTGCAAATGCTGCTGAACTCGAGGCTCTTCGAAAACCTGTGAGCTTTGACTGTTCTTCTCAGAAAGTCCCATGTCAAACGTATATATAGCATCCAACCATAGAGATTTACGGCCCAGCTGGTATACGAACATTCGTTCGAAGTATCCTCAAAATGACCTTAAGCAGAATGTCCGATAAATATGTCGTGCACGAGCTTTTGGCACCCACAGATCAAGTGACGTCTTGCGAGCCAGAAGTTATGCATGAAAATGAGGTTGCTGGAGAGGACATCTTTTGTTCTACTGAAGACGGACTCTGGAGAGGTGTGACTCAGGGACAAGGTATCTTCGGGCCAGTTATGGTTGATGCAGGGCCCATTGTACATCGAGGTCAGGCAGGATCCTGTCGCATTCAACGATCTTTGCTCTTATCCAACAACTTTTAGATCCATGCATTGGGTACGTCTTTAGAGAAGCAGTTCAACCTTTTCGCAAAATAGTCATACTAGGAGACACCTGTGATCCTTCCGCAATAATGCCATTGTGCATATATCCCTCTCCTTCGCTTCTCATTCACGAAGCTGCAGACGCACATATTCCTCAAGAGATTGATCCAAAAGCTAGAAGAACTTACGATGTGGTTAAAGAAAAAGCGATAGCCAGAGGCCATTCGCTACCAGAGATGGCCGGGGCATTCGCGAAAACCATCGGTGCTCAGAAACTTGTGCTGAATCATCTTGGAGGAAGGCAAGTGCGCAATCATGATTCAACGAGGTTCTTACATGAACTAGTCAATTCCGAATCTTCTCAGATTTCCTGCCCCGAATTCCGCTGAAGGTTACCGACTTACGAACATTCGGTCCAATGTCATAGCAGAAATCGAACGACAAGCGAGTGAGGCGTGGGGAATGGGAACCGCCCGTGCTGCTTGGGACTTTATGCGTGTTGCTGTCCCCAATCCTGATTCATTCCCGCCCCAAACGGCGGTCAATGATCAGCTCATAACTCAAGACCAGACCCAAGACTCTGCCCACCCAACTGCGTATAATACTTGGGAAACGTCACATACAGAAACAAGGTTAGATCCTTCGACGACTGCTAGCAGCCCGGGTCGGCATCGGGAAAGAGGGCACTGGCGTACACGCCCCTCTCGACACGATGGGATCTATCGGAAGCGCCAGTATGGAGACTCTGATAATGTGGATCTCTCGCAGAACCGTAACCATGGTGCTCAAATGAAGAGGGGAAGTTAAAAACACGCTTCCGACTCATTCGTACAGCGCATCCGAACATGGACAATGCCAATGGACCTCAATGGACCCGACATTCGGCAGAGTATTATGGAGCCGCGCATTCTGCTTTGCGTTCAAGGTTGCCGGGGCATACAAGAAATTCTCACCACGTATGTGCATAATTAGGCGTTCAAGTAGCATATTAAATGCATATTAAAGAGCATAGAGTAAACTACATATATAGCAGCTACGTATCAAAAAGCATTGCAAGAAGGATTATTTTTAATTGTGGTATCTTGAGTTTTTGGGAGAACCATGCTCGACTGTCAATGGGAAGAAGGTTCATGATAGATCGTCAGATTCTTTGTACGCGTACTTCGATTTGCTGCGAATCCCCTTGCCATAATTCTAATGAAAGTCAGCTCGTCATTTGCGAACGAAAGAAAAGGCTCACCCAGAACAAGAACGGTATAGGAGTGCAAGCTAAACCCAGGAATGCGAAAATGCTCATACCCCACGCGTCTCCTAAGCTTTTGAACATTGTAGGTGCAATAACAGGAAAGACAGCCGCGAAAATGGAGCGCAGAACAATCGTAGCAGCAATAGCGCTCGCAAAGTAAATCTCGTACGCGTCCATCAGATATGCAGTCGAACTTTGGAGGATCTGGCAGACACCTTGACCGAAAGGGAAGCCAGCTATGATAGGAACGATCCAATGTACAGGTGGATCCGCGGTCCTAGAGAAATATTATGAAGAAAGGTCATCCGCGGACAGAACATGAACATACCATGCGAACCAAAATAGACCTATAGGTACAAGAACACCTTCGAACAAGATTGAATTCTGAGAATGGGGTACACAAGATGTTGTGACTTACCTCCCATCATGGCTGTATGCAGTCGCCTAAGACCCGCGATGAGATGAATACTAATGACATGTGGCAGCGTACTTACGCTTCAGGTGGAGCTCGTCCATTGGGACTTCTATCCATTGCTTTTCGATAGATAGTATTCTGGACAGAAGCGGTGGCCGTCCCGACGGATATGCCTGCACCGACTCCGAGAAAAGCAAGACCTCCTACACCTGCAGACCATCCTCTTCGGGTTTCGAACACGATGGGAAAAGCGGAGAACAAAGCATACAATGTGCCGTATACGACAGAGATGTAGATGGCAAATAGTAAAACAATGGGCTCGGTGACCATGAAGGCTATGATAGGATCGTGAGCAATAGAGAGAATGCAAAATTTTCCTTCACTAACTGAAAGGTCTACTCAGATTGACTTTCATGGTTTTCACAAAGGATGTCGAGCGGCCTACATCATATTTCGACATGTAAGAAATCGTTCCATTTGAAAGTTTCATGAGGTGTTGGGCGCGTCGTCGCAAGAGAACAGGGGCATACTGGTACCAAGGATCAAAATACGAGCAGCCAACTATCTCTGATAACGACTTACTGTTTCTGGGGCTAGAAAATATCCCATTATCAAGCTGAAAGCGCCCAAAAGCAACATCAACCAAAAATTGAAGTGCCATCCCAAACTTGAATCTGCTACGAAACCGCCAACGATTGGACCGATAACTGTATGCGTGAAGTTATAAGCAGGGGGATGCAGCCACTGAGAGACTCAAGTTGGCTGACCTGGCCCCAGAAATGGTACTGCTGCATATATTGCAGACGCAAGGCCCCTCTCACGAGGAGTGAATATGTCAGCTACTGCTCCTCCGGCATTGGTCAGAGCTTAGTACCAGAGCACGATTGAGCATGTGGCTTGATGGAATACAAAGACATAGACTCACGAGAAGCACCAAAGATACCGGTAAGTAACCTCACGATAAGGACAGTGGTTATATTCTTAGCAAACGCTCCTCCAATGTGAAGAGGAGTGTATAATCCGACGGTAATCAGGAATATTATGCGCTGTTATTAGGGGATCCAGAATGGTCACCGGTACAGTCTTGACGACGTCGTTGATTGTTGCTTACCCGGCCATACATCTGCGCACGACGGAAAGCAACGTCAATTGACACGCTTTAATTCGAACACAAAGCGTACAAACCTCTCCCATTGGTGCGAATAAAAGAGGACTACGACATCAGTTAACGCGTGATTAACAATTCGTGATCTCTGAGAGTCCACATACCCAACAGCGAATCCCAGAACGTACAACGAGATACCCAACACCGCTAGTTCGTCAGACACATTCAAGTCGCGAGTGATATCTTCCAAACCGCCACTGTATGAACTACTGCTGAAAGATACGGTGAATGTGGTCAAGGCCAGCTGGTAAGAACAAGTGTTGAAGGACAACGTGTGAACCTCACGAGAGATATATCAAGGTTTCTCCAACAAATGACATACCTGCGTTGTAATGATCCACTTGCGAGTATTTGACCAGTTATAAGGATCTTCGGGGTCTTCTTCATCCCAAACAACAATGTAAGGGTCTTGACGAGTACCAGAGCCAGCATATCTAGCATGGCTACTATTGCCACTATCCGTCTCAATCTTCTCTTCGACTGGACATGATTTTTGGTTCGTGCAGGAGTCAAAGTTTCGGTCGTGTAGTATAGCGCTACTTGAGCAATCTTCAGAGGAACCAGAACGACGGTCAGCAGAGGACATAGTGAAGAAAGTCAGGGGCGTTTTAAAGAAGAGGATGGCACCGGTGAGTATTGCAAGAAGACATGCATATGCGGATTATATAGTCTTGAGAGAAAAAAGAAGCATGAAGATGATATCTCTGTAATGAAAGTCACACAGTATTTACTTGTGGTCCCTGTCTTGAGATTCATAATGGCGACATAATCATGGAGAGGCGACTCGGCAGTGGAACCCGAGAGAACAGTACGTGTAACAGAAGCAGATTCAGTGGAAAAGTAGCGACGAAAAACCGAAGCCATCAGTCGAAGAAGTCTTTTTACTGGCTTTGCGATTTCCCAAAAAATATCATCCCAGTAGTTGCGAGCAATTCTTGTAGTATTCTTTTCCGCAATGCACGGTATTATTCAAGGGAACGACGAGTCGATCCATCGCAGAGTGAACTTTCTCGAAGATGAACAGCAAGGACAAGCACCACATCAGGCAAACCCATCAATGCAATCAATTATAAACTTTCAGTTTTCCTTGAAGGTTTTTTTTTCAATGGCCGCCGGTTCGCCTTC